AAGAAACTAAAGGGAATAAGCATTTATGTCTTGTCAAACACTTGGCATTACTAATGTATTTTCTTCCTGGCTTAACGCTGATGTATTTTTAATTCACAGTTTGATTATTTTTTAACATCTATTATTATAAAGAAGTACACAGTTAATAAAAGTTATTGTTTTTTGTTACGGCCCCTCTGGGCCTCGGCCTGCGGCCCCTGCCCCTGCCAGCTCTCCTTGGTAGATTGGCATACTATTACGGAATATAAAGACAATATTAAGTACATCATAGTAAAGACTTACAATCTGTCTATTCACAGCCCTCAGCTGGGCTATTATCTGCTGCCTTTGCTGTTGAAGCAAAGGCAGTCCTGGGGCAGAAGGGGCTCCTCCATGAGGGAGCACTGGTGCACCTCCAGGAGGGAGCACCGGTGCACCTCCAGGAGGGAGCACCGGTGCTCCTCCAGGAGGGAGCACCGGTGCACCTCCAGGAGGGAGCACCGGTGCTCCTCCAGGAGGGAGCACCGGTGCCACTCCAGGAGCGAGCAACGGCGGGCCTCCAGCTCTTCGGACTGGGATTGGGAGTGCTGGAGGTGGTGGTGGAGGCCTTCCATCTCCAGCTACTGGCGGTGGCGGATGAACTATGTGCTCATCACCAGCATCATCCATTATAAAGTATGCTACCAAATAAGAAGAAAATATATTGATAGCTAATTTAATTTGTAACTGAACTGACTTTAGTGCTTCTTTAAAAAAAGAAAGTTGTAGTAGTTATTACTAGTTAACTTGAGAGCAAAACGGCAACTGAAATTGAATCAGAATGTAAACTTAAATAGTTTCAGAACAGGAAATAGATCTTAGTATTAATGGTCAATAACGATGAATAATTATTAGCTAGGCTATGAATATAATTAATGATTCAAATATTAAAAAAAATTAATAAAAAGTAATTGTATGAAAAATGTTTTAAAAATGCGATAGGTCTTCTTATAGTTTTTATTTCAAAATTCTTTTCTTCCAGCAATGAACTGATAACTAAGGCAAAAATTGTAATTATTAATAAAAAGGATTCTTAATTAATTAATAATGATGAAAATTATGAGCTGGGCTATAATTAATGATTCAAAAATTCAAAATAAATAAAATAAATTTATAAATTAATTATTAATAATTTTATAATTATTAATAAAAAGGATTATTAATTAATAAAATTTAATGAAAAGTATGGAAACAAGTAAATAAAAAAATTTCTATTAAATA